TACCTGATTTGGGGGGTTTTGATGGTGGGTGAGAGAGAGAGAGAGAGAGAGAGAGAGATTGGGATTTGGGACTGATTTGAAACTCACAACGGAGAGTATTGAGTTTAGGGAGAGAGAGAACGCTGATTTAGGGTTAGGGTTTTACTGTACAACAGTCAATTGAAGCTGCCGGTTACAGCTCTATGGATACAAATTCAAAGAAGAACAATACCTAAACAAAAAAAAAAAACCACCAAATCGCCAGATAAAAAAAAGAAGGAGAAGCCTACCTGAAATGGAAGTGAAGAAAAGAGATGGGGGCTAGATGTTGTTGCGGCGGGAAGCTTTTGACCGAGCACGAGTGAGCTGAGAAGAGAAGAGTGTTGGGTGCTCATTCCTGTACCAACCACTAAGAGAGTTCTGAGTTCAGGGAGAGAGAGAACGCTGCTTTAGGGTGCTCAGCGGCGAAGAGAGGTCGTGCTGCGAAGAGAGGGCACTCAGCGGCAAAGATGGCAAGAAGGTAATGAGCGTGCTCAGCGGCGAAGATGGGAACGAAGAGGGCTAAGGTTATCGGGGGCTGAAGCGAAGCTTAAGTTCTTATTTCGGGGGTGAAGTCCAAAACCTAACTTCTTATTTCAAGTTCCGACCTTTTGGGTCGAAACGTTTTTTACATGAGATAATAGGAAAATGAACAGTAGTGTCGAGTTCTCATTTGAAGTTCCTTTTTAACACTAGTAGGTGAAGTTCCTTCTTCCTTTCTCTTGTTATCAAACACGCCATAAAGGTCAAACACGCCATAAAGGAAAACGATAATATAAGGTTGCAACCACAAAGGAAAACGATTATATAAGGTTGCAACCTTATAACGTAGATCTACATCTCAAAAATCCACCGAAAAAGGTCGTTTTAATGTTGAAAAACCTTTTGATTGTATCTCGACATCGGGATGTATGACCATGAAAAATAAAAAGATTTTTAGTCTCAAAAATAGTGCATTTTACAACATATTATCTACACCATCCATTTTCAAGATTTTTATATGTTTATAGATCTATTTGATTTTAACCATTTTTTAAATTTAAAATTTTATAATTAGATATAAAAATAGATTTTGAGATAATCATAAGAACATTTTACATCAAAATTATATACCATGATAAAATTTGAAGGCGCACCTTACCTCTATTGCTACGGATGCATCTGTAGGCCAACTGCACCTTTTTTTAAATATTATCTTTCGTCTTCCTAATAAATCACCTACCGTCAAATCTCCCCTACCCCCCATGATTTTCTCTCTCTCTCTTCCTCTTACACCTTTATTTAAAAAATCTCTTACATCTTTTTAAAATTCTTTTTTATGTCTCTCTTATTTATATCATCTATGGTTTTCTTCTTCTATCTATCTCCATTTTTTCTAAAAATCTCTCTCATTTATTTTCCTAAAATCTCTTATCTCTCCCTTATTTATATCATCTACTGTTTTTATTTCTCTCTCCCTCTTTCATAAAATCTCTCCCATTTATTTTCCTAAAATCTCTCCTTCTCAAAGGTCTCTCTCAACTGTTTCTCTCTCTCTTTATTTTTTCTCTCTCTTTAATTTTTCTATCCTGAATTAACTCTCAATAACGTGTAATAAAGAAACACATTATTTCTTTCTCCCTTACTTGCTACTTTTTTTTATTTTTTCTAACTTGCACTACTTGCCATTAATGGTAATTAATGCCTCTATGTGATAATTCCCATCTTAAATCCCTCCTATAGTATTTCCCCTATTTCATTTATTTCTTTGTCCTTTAAATCTCTCTCAATCTCTCCCTCCCGAAATATCGTTTTAGGAAAAACCTCTTCCATCCTCTCTCGTCATAAAACTCTCATCCCTATCCCAAAAGCCTATCATGATCTCTTAAAAAGAATTTTTAACTCGAAAATATTTTTCTAAGAGAGTAAAATGTATGATGTCTGTCTCTATCTCTATGTGATATATTTTTCAAATTGTAAAATGATTTTGTACATATAGAAAATAAGTGGTTTGTTCTCTCTCTCCCATGTCGTGAAACTCAATTAGATTGAAAAAAAACTAAAGATTTAAATTCTTGAATAGTTTTAATTTTTTTTATTATAAACGTGAACATAGTAATAAATAGTAGTATATTTTTCAAATTGTACTATGATTTTTTTTACAAATAGAAAATAAGTGGTTTGATCTCTCTCTCACAGGTCATGAAACTCAATTAAATTGAAAAAACATAAATATTTAGATTCTTGAACATAGTAATAAAATAGTAATAATAAATATTATTATTATTATTTTAATTATTTTGATGGCCTATAAGTTATTTATTTATGTTATTGTATCTTCTAGCTTTCTCTTTCTATTTTGCAGTCGTATTATGCCTCTATTATGAAACAGTATGTTTATTTTTATTTTATGAGTTATTTTTATCATATAAGGTAAAGCCCATGGATCTTAAATGCTAATGCAAAAAAATGATTTTTTTTTCCTTCTCGATTCTTATGTTAGATCATATCAATTTTCTTTCTATCTCAATTTTACACTTTATGATTTTAACTACATTTTGTTATATTTTAGTTTTTCATGAATATTTTAATATTTCAATATTTTTTTGATGACCGTAATAGCGTTCTCTTGCTATTTTCTAGGTGTATTGTTGCCTCTTTTGAACTCTTTATTATGAAACTAAAGGGAAAAATTGAGGTAGAAAGAAAGTCAATTTATCATTTAACATAAGAATAAGAAAAAAAGTAGTATTCAAGATAAATGGGTCTTACCATATAACATAATAATAATAATGATAATGATAATGATAATAATAATAATAATAATAATTTAATATTTTTAATATTATTTTATTTTAATCAAAATAAAATAATAAATTTATAATTTAGTCTATTTATTATTATTATTATTTTTAAAGATAAATTATTCATATTAATAATAGAAACAAAATAAAATAATAATTTTGTTTCTATCTCAATTTTGGCTTTTGCATATTTTTAACAATAATTTTTATATTTAATAGTTTTTATGACTATTTTAACATTCCATTAGTTTTTTAATGACAATACTATATTTTTAAAATGTGATTCAGCATATACAAAAGTTGATTCTTTGTTTTTTGAGATACTTGAATATCTTTTATTTTTAAATTATAAAAATTTAATTATTAAAAATTATTCAAAACTGATATATTGTGATCTCATCTCCTCTAACTTTTTCTTACTATTTTTCATTTGCACTATGTCCATCTTGATTCTTCTATTTAAAATAATATTGAAAAACTTTTGATCGCATTTAGTTTTTTTATAACAAATAGTATATCTAAATTAGTTCTTTCGTTCATGTTTTTTTTTTAAAAATAAATTTTATACTTCTTAAGTTATTGTAATAGAAAAGACATGACTTATTGAAAAAGGTCATCCCTAATTAATAAGCATGCATTTTTAATTAAGCATAATTTATCTCTCGCACATTCAAGTCATTATTTTTCATGTGTAACAAAAAGTCCCCAACCCAATAAAAAATGTATATATTTTTATTAATAATAATTTATCCCTCTCACGCAAGTTACTATTTCTCATGCCTATTTTTAATAGGAAACATGTGGGTTAAAGTGAACCACTTGAGCATCAGCTACCTGTCTATATTTCCATTCCGACTAATGCATTTGAAAACCGCTAATTATTTCTAAAAACGGGTAGGGACATGTATTCCCCATTGATCTACCAAAAAAACAGATGAGTTAATGAAAGAAATATTTGTTAATCTCACCTCTCACCCCTTAAATCTCTCCCTCACTCTCTTTTTCCTTATCTCTCGCAGTTTCTTTTCCTAAAATTTCTCTCCCCTCTCTTATTCTTGATCAATATATATAAATTATTATCACTCTTTTCTTTATAATAAAGTTGATGCTTCTTGAGTATGCCCTAAGGGACAAATATATTAGATATAGATATTAATAGGATCTAATATCTTAAATTAATATATTAGATATTAGCATTAGTAAGACCATGCATAAATATATTTATTAGTTTTATTTATATAACTTAAATTATTTATTTAAATTATCTTCATTATTTTAAGTATACGTCAAATGGATCTGTGTTAATTAGTAATATCCTAAAAGTAATATTTACTATCACATTTATTATTGATTAATAAAATATTCAATTGTGAAGATAAATACATTAAATTCTCTCTCTAATACCATGTTTTATTGAAATTTTTGAATGATATATATATTTCAGTGATTAATATTAAATATCACATGCAACGCACGTGCATATTACTAGTTATAATAAAGGCTTACATGAAAAATGATAATCGTTGTTCGGAAAATCGAATCGGATATAGGGCCGGAAGCAGTTAAACTGGCCGATTCAACCGTTCTAACTGCGTAAGTCTCAGGCAGTCAAAAAATTGTTGAAAAAAATAAAAAAGATGCAAAAAAAATCTACTAAAATATGAAAGACATATAAATAATTATTAAAACAAAACGCATTTAAATGAAGATGAAAATTAATGAAAATAAATTTTGAAAGTGAGTATTAATGATCAAAATAATTTTTAATATTTATCATAATGTAAAACATATTAAAAAAAATATTAAAAATCAAATTCCTTATTTTTGAGATTTTATACATATTTTTTTGAATTTTTACTTTTAAACTACCTACCAATCACCAAAACAGCCCAAAACTAAAAGCGGCAAGCGATCTAACTGGGCGTAGATCACCCGGTTTTTCTAACAACGATGATAACTCTCATTGATACACTTAAGTATCTTTTTAATTGAATAGTAATGGTATTAATTAATTAAGGATAAAGACAAAGTAGGAATTATTAAAAAATAAAAAGGAAAAAGAGGAAGTAAAAAGGGCACATGTTAAAATAATAAAAGTGGACCTCGTTTTGTTTAATATACAGGGATAGTAACTCATAACCTATATATCCCTTATATTTACTATTATTATAAGATTATCTTCAACTTTTTGTTATTACCCTATATCTGTTTTTTCAACTTTATTGCACTTTTTTTATATAAAAAAAATTGAATTACTTTGTTTTTGGTTTTTTAAAAACCGAAATGTTTTAAACAATTGAATTTCCAAATTTGAGAAATAAGCTTATTGGGTTATTTAAAAACCAAAAATTGCCTCAATTCGACTTTTCAAAAACTGAATTTGTGTTTTGTCTTTCAAAAACCCAATCGTCCTAAACATTATTATTGCAAGTGTGCTCACCTTGACAGAAGGCAAAGAGGATGAAGAAGAAAAAAATATGGGTTGGGGAAGAGCGAGAAGAAGAAAGTGGGGAGGAAGAAACAACAGAGCTGCATTTGGTGGAGGTGAAAGAGCGAGGAAAAGAAAGTGAGGAGAGAGAAACAACAGAGCTGCATTTGGTGGAAGAGAGAGAAGAAAAGGAAGGAGAGTGAAAAAGCAGAGCTGCCTTTTGTAGAGAGAGAGTTGAGGTAGGAGCAGGTGGTGTTTTGAGGCAGTGCTTGCAGGGCAGGAGCAAAAGCTATGGCGTGCATTTTTGCTTTGGGAAAAGAAACGCTCTACCAGGGTCTGCTGCACGTCCATATATAGGTTTAGGTGAG